ACATACAGCCCCTCGACATGTGATTCCTTGCACCATCTCAGGACTCTGCAAAGTCCCCACCAGCAAGAAGGCTCTCACCAGATGCATCCCCTTGATGTTGAACTTAGCCTCCATAACCATAAAAAATATATTCCTTTTCTCTACAAATTACCCAGTTTCATGTATTCTGTTATAAGCAACAGAAAATGAACTAATACACCATAGAACTATCATCAGTAATTTTGAGAAATGGAGAACACAAAGTTGCCAGAAGACTGAAGACGCACAGATGTTTCCATTTTCAAAACATAAAAAATGAATTCCAGAAACTAAATGCTAATAAGCATGATATTGAAAGCTGGCAAAATTATAGAACAGATGAAGCATATAGTTTATCAACATCTTTTCAAGTCATCAGTAGAAGATAAAATTGTTTCTTCATCAAACTAAATTACTTAAATTACATACCTGAAAATGGCTAACATAGATGCTGAATTATTGTAAGTATCCACTAAATATCTTTTTTAAAAAAACAAACCAACTTTAAATCTGTCTCTGGCAAATTCTATAACAAAGAAGGAAAATGAAGTCAAAAACAGAGAAAACTACACAAAATTATTTTTTAAATATTGTGCATAATTCTACATTTAAAAATAGACAATCTTGGCCCAGATGTGGTGGCTCATGCCTGTAATCCCTGCACTTTGGGAGGCTGAGGCAGGCAGATCACTTGAGCCCAAGAGTTCCAGACCAGCCTGGCCAAAATGGTGAAATCCCATCTCTACTGAAAATACAAAAAAAAAAAAAAAAAAAAAATCAGCCAAGCATGGTGGCATGTGCCTGTAGCCAGCTACTAAGGAGGCTGAGGTAGAGGACTGCTTGAACTCAGGAGATTACGCCACTGCACTCCAGCCTAGGTGACAGAGTGAGATCCTGTCTCAAAAAAAAGAAAAGAAAAAAATATATTGACCTAGCACAGTGACTCACACCTGAAATCCCAGCACTTTGGGAGGCCAAAGCGGGCAGATCACTTGAGGTCAGAAGTTTGAAACAAGCCTGACCCACATGGTGAAACCCCCATCTCTACTAAAAATACAAAAATTATCTGGCCATGGTGGCAGGCACCTGTAATCCCAACTACTTGGGAGGCTGAGGGAGGAGAATCACTTGAACCCAGAAGGCGGAGGTTGCAGTGAGCCAAGATCATGCCATTGCACTCCAGCCTGGACAGAGCAAGACTCTGTCTCAAAATATATTTTTAAAAAGAAAATAAAATCTAGATCATATGGACTCATATCAAGTTGTCAAAATTGAGATAAAAATTGATTCATCTCAAAGATGAGGTGAAAATTGAGAAGCTCCTTCTCTGTATGTGGCAGGGCTGGTGACACAAAGTATAAACTAGAAAATACCCAAGTGGAGGTTAAATATGAGAGTTTAGAGTCCAGGGAAGAAGTCAGGGCTGGAAATTTGGGAACAGTCAAAGCATTTGTGGTATTTAAATCCATGACATCAGAAAGATCACCATGAAAGGGAATATGGATAGAGAAGATAAGTCCTAGGACTGAGTCCTGGAACAGCCCGGAATTCATTCATTAAAAGAGAATGAGGAAGCAGCATTTTGGGATGCCAACGCGGGCAAATCCCCTGAGGTCAGGAGTTTTAGACCAGCCTGGCCAATATGGCAAAATACCATCTCTACTAAAAATATAAACATTAGCCGGGCGTGATGCCAGTGCCTGTAGTCCCTCTGGGGAGGCTGAGGCAACAGAATCACTTGAACCCTGGAGGTAGAGATTGCAGTAAGCCAAGATGGTGCCACGACACTCCAGTCTGGGCAACAGAGTGAGACTCTGTCTGAAAAAAAATAAGACAGAGAGAGAATGGGGAAGTACAGCCAGTGAGGTGAGAGTAAAGAGATGTGGGATAAAGTAGATCTTGAAAGCTAAATGAAGCAAATGTTTCAAAAGGAGGAAAGGATTGACAGCATCAAATGCTGCTGAGTAGTCAGGTAAGATGAGGACTGAGAACTGAAGCAAAGTGGGGACTGGACAAGAGGATATTTTGTCCCTAATCGGAGTTAGACAAAAGCCTAAATGGAGTTAGTTCAAGATATAATGAGAAATGATAGAGAGACAAACAGTACTTTGAAGAGTTCTTGTATAGAGAGGAGTAGGAAAATGTTGCAGGAGGTGAAGGGGAATGTAAGTTCAAGGAAATTTTAGGTGTTTTTTTTTGGATGATAAATTTTACAACACGTTTGTATGCTGGGAAAAATAATTCCACAGAAAGGGAAAAATTGATGATGTAGAAGAGAGGAAACAATTTCAGGAGAAATATCCTTAAATGGTTTAGAAGCATCATAAGTGGAATTATCTGGTGTGAGATGCAGCCTACACAACTCACCCACGCAAGGCAGTGTATATAGGCCCCAATATTGTTAAGCCAATAGATATAGGAAGTGTTGCAGGTTAGGTTTCCCAGAAGGCAGATACTAAGACAGAGTGAGGAGCCCTAAATACTTATTGGGGAATGACTCCTGTAAACAAAAAAGACAAGAGTCAGCTAGAGCCATCAGACAACAATGGAGAATTCTATGAAGCTGTCCTAACAGTCTCTGCCAGCTCAGCTCCAAAGTCAAGATTGCCCATTAGAGGAGTCCCACCTTGGGTGGAAATGAACACATCTTTGCACACTGCCTTGCTCAGTTGCTAGCTGAAGGTCACTAGAGAAGACTATGGCATCAGTTTGAAAGCAGAAGGGAACTCTGAAGGAGTTAACTGCTGGAAGCTAGCAGCTAAGCACAGTCCTTGCAAATGGACAACTAGCCTTTCATTGAAGGGAGCTGAGTGGGCACATCTTCATGTCTGACACAGAATAGGAAGATGTAGAAATTCTCTTGTTCACTTTTATCTTCACAGTTGCATTAGGCCATTGTTGCATTGCTATAAAGAAATACTCAAGATTGGGTAATTTATAAAGAAAAGAGGTTTAATTGGTTCCTGGTTCTGCAGGCTGTACAGGAACCACAGCAGCATCTGCTTCTAAGGAGGTTTCAGGCAGCTTACAATCAAGACAGAAGGTGAACAGGGTGCAGGCATGTCATATCGTGAAAGCAGGGGTAAGGGGTGGGGTCGTGTGCCACATACTTTTAAACAATCAGATCTCATGAAAACTCATGCACTATGGTGAGAACAGCACCAAGTGGATGGTGCTAAACCATTCATGAGAAAACCATCCCCATATATTCCAATCATCTCCCACCAGGCCCCACCTCCCACTTTGGGAATTACATTTCAGCATGACATTTGGACAGGAACACACTGTATCAAAAGTGAAGTAATCAGCAAAGTCATCAGCTTGAATGAGATGAGGGAAGAAAGAGTATTGGAGTTTCTAGCAGGAGGAGAAAACATGAAGCAGTTGACTCAAAGACTGCAAGAATGAATACAGAGAGATTACTAGGTAGCCCTGATAATTTATTTAATAGTGTTTAAATTCAAAGCAATATAAGCAGAGGGAAGATCAGCAGCAGAAGAAAGAATTATAGAAATAATTGAAGAAAACTTTTGGTTTTTAAAATATTGCGAGTAATCAGTCAACAAAAACATGTAAGGAAACAAGAACCATGCTGGTCTTGTATTTCACTAAAAAAGCAATAAAATGTATTTTAAAACTATAAAACATAAAATATATAAAAGGGGTGCATTGGAAGATTTTTAGCCCTAAGAAACAGAAAACTATAACTAGTATAAACAATAAAGCAGATTTATTATTTCACAGAAGAATTTCTAAGTTGGATCTGAGATTGGTTAATTCAGTGGCTTAGCCCCAGGTTTCTTTCATTTTTCTGCTTTGCCAGGCTCAGGAGATTAGCTTATCCTGAGTTACTCATTCTCTTGTTCATGAATTGGTCCTACAGTTCCAGGCATTACAAACACACATGACAGTATTGAGCAGAATAAGAAAGAAGATCTCACTGGCTAGAGTTGTGTCACATGCCCATTCCAAAGCCAATCACTATTAAGGGGAAAGCAATTGATTTAAAGTACATGTCTGGGTAGAGAAGCATGGACTGCCCAAACAAAATCAGAGTTTTCTTAATAAGAAAGAAGGAAAAAATGGCTGCTTGGTAGGCCATCAGTACTTCTATGAGAGAAAGAACATATTGTAACTTGAAAATGTAAAAATCCAGCAAAACTATCATTTTTTATGAGGGCACATCCTCAGAAATAAACATACTTAGAAAATATACCACCCATATACCTTTTTTTTTTTTTTTTTTTGAGATGGAGTTTCACTCTTGTTACCCAGGGTGGAGTGCAATGGTGCGATCTCGGCTCACCACAACCTCCGCCTCCTGGGTTCAGGCAATTCTCCTGCCTCAGCCTCCTGAGTAGCTGGAATTACAGGCACACACCACAGTGCCCAGCTAATTTTTTGTATTTTTAGTAGAGACGGGGTTTCAACATGTTGACCAGGATGGTCTCGATCTGTTGACCTCATGATCCACGCACCTCCCAAAGTGCTGGGATTACAGGCTTGAGCCCCCGTGCCTGGCCTACCCATATACCTTTCTTGAAAATTTTTCTAAAAATATTATAGATAACTGAGAGAAGAATAAGACAACTCAACAAGAAGTTGTCTTATGAAATAACTGATAGTGATCAATGAATCCAATAACACAAAGTTAAATCTGATTGTTTCATTTTGAAGTACACCTGCAAATTACATTAAAAACTAAACACTTAAATTACATTTAAGCTAGGATCTGAAAACTAAAAACTATTTAAACAGGTAAAGAGTTGAGAGAAGAGCACACCAGACAGAAGAAATGATGTGAGCATTTCCTTAAGGCTAGAGTGGAAATAAGCATAACATAGAATAGGAAGGAGTTAGATCATACTGAGCCTTGTGTGGCATGTTAGGGATTTGGAATTTTAAGCATATTGAACATTGCTAGTGTTTTAAGTATAGGAGTAACATATCTCATTCTATTTTGATACGATCATGCTGGTTTCTTTTTTTTTAATCATGCCACATTATTTTTAATTATGTACAATGATCTAACATGTCACCCAGGGACCATTTCACCCACTGCTCTGTTTGGCCACCAGTCTTTTGTCTCTCTCTTCAGCAATAGTGAGGCAGATACCCTTTCCTAGGGGAAGAGAAATCCATGGTTTGTTGCCCTTGCCAATAATAAAAATGTTGGAAAGTCAAAGAGCAAAGCTGTTGGCATCAGCATCTTTCACATAAACCATGTCAAAAGATCCAAGGTGCCTCTCTCTGTTGATGATCACACCAATTCTTCCCAGATTAGCACCTCCAGTAACCATACACAGATTACCCGTGTCAAACTTGATGAAATCAGTAAGCTTGCCAGTCTCCAAATCAATCTGAATGGTATCATTCACCTTGATGAGGGGATCGGGGTAGCAGACAGTGCAAGCATCATGAGTCATCAAATGAGGGATTCCTTTTGTGCCCACAAAGATTTTTCTCACTTTACACAACTTGTACGTGGCCTTCTCAGGTGTAATATGATGTACAGGAAAGCAACTCTTAGTGTCATAGATCAGACAGAAATTCTCTCCCATCTTGTCAATGCTGATGACATCCATGAATCCAGCAGGGTAGGTTATATCATTTTGGACCTTGCCATTGATCTTAATAAACCACTGCAAGTAAATCTTCTTTACTTCATCTCCTGTCAGGGCATACTTAAGTCTGTTCCTCAGGAAAATTATGAGGGGAAGACACTCTCTCAACTTGTTGGGACTGTGGATGGACAAGCGGCAAACACACTGGTCAATTTATACAGCATCCAATGCTTTGAAGCTGCTACTCGCTTTAGATGCTTCTTGGGACCACAAGTCATGGCTGCATTAAGCAAAAAAAGAGGACCTCTGTCTTCTGGTGCATGTAGAAATTTGGTTTCCTTTTAAAAAGGCAGATGAGAGCAAGGCAAGGGTAGAAGTTAGGACACTACTGAAGGTGACAAATTATATTGTTTATACTAGGAAGGAGTGTGAAAATGAAGAGATATTGATAAATTGTAAATACATGTAGAGAGATGCAATAAAACAAGCTGAAGGATTGTAGCTGTAGGAGTTGAGGGAAATGGTAGAATCAAGGAGCCAAGCTTTTGGCTGTGTGGATGGTAGTGCCACTTACTAAAAAGGTAAGGACCAGAAGATTAACAGGCTGCAGCTCAAGAAACGAGATGGGAGAAGGGGACCAAGAATCTAATTTGAACATTTTAAGTATGAGATGCCTGTGAGACATCCAAGTAAAGACAGAGTATAGAATAGGTCTGATCTAGAGACATATTTTTGGAAGTTTTGGCATATATACAATACTGAAGACTATAGAGAAATGACTATTATCAAAGGAAAGAAAAAGAAAGTAAATCTCAGTGCTTAAAGGTTGGTTAGAGAAAAAGAAAATAAAGGAGACTGAAAGGAAACAGGCAACAAATTAAGAGGAAAACCAATAGAGTGTTAGAGTCATGGAAGCCAAGAGCAAGAAAAGAATAAAGTTGTGTCAAAAACTCAATAGACTAATAAGGTGATAATATGCACATTTTCATTAGATTTGGCAACAGGGAGGTTGATGATGACAGAAGTCGTTTCAGTTGTATGGTGGTGATTGTCATTATCTCAGTGCATCAGAATGGAATTGAAAATAATGAATAAGAATGTGAGGAAATGAAGACAGCTGGTTTTAGAAAACTCTTCTGGCACTTTGGGAGGCTGAGGAGGGTAGATCACACAAACAAGCAGAAAACAAATAACAAAACGTCAGGAGTAAGTCCTTACTTATCAAGAAAAAATATTGAAGGTAAATGGACTAAACACTCCAATAAAAAGAGAGTAACTGATGAATTTTTAAAAAACAAGACCCAGGCCAGGCACGGTGGTTCACATCTGTAGTCCCAGCACTTTGGGAGGCCAAGGTAGGCCAATCACTTGACATCAGGAGTTCAAAACTAGCCTGACCCACATGCTGAAACCACCCTCTATACTAAAAATACAAAAATTAGCCAAGTGTGGTAGTGGGCATCTATAATCCCAGCTACTCAGAAGGCTAAGGCAGGAGAATCACTTGAACCCAGGAGGTGGAAGTTGCAGTGAGCCGAGATCATGCCACTGTGCTTTAGCCTGGGTGTCAGAGTGAGACTCCATCTCAAAACAACAAAAACCAAAACAAAACAAGGCCCAATGATCTGTTGCTTACAAGAAATATACTTGACCTATAAAGACACACATAAATTTTCAGACACACTGAACATAAAAGGATGGAAAAAATATTGCATACCAATAGAAACCGAAAAAGAGCAGTAGTGGTATACTTATATCAGATAAAATAGATCTCAAGACAAAAGCTATAATTAGACAAAGAGTCACTATATAATGATAAAGGGATCAATTCAGCTAGAAGATATAATAATTATTATAATATATATGCATCCAACACTGGAGCACCCAGATATATAAAGTAAATATTATTAGAGCTAAAGAGAGAAATAGACCTCAATACAATACCCCACTTTCAGCGTTGGACAGTGATATGGTTTGGCTCTGTGTCCCCACCCAAATCTCATCTCAAATTATAACCGCCACTGTCAGAGGAGAAACCTGGGGGGAAGTGATTGGATAATGGGAGTGGATCTCTCCCTTGCTGTTCCTGTGACAGTGAGTTCTCATGAGAGCTGATGGTTTTAAAGTGTGGCACTTTCCCACTCACTGTCCCTCTCCTGCTGCCATGTAAAACATGCCTTACTTCCCCTTCACCTTCCACCATGATTATACATTTCCTGAGGCCTCCCCAGATATGCAGAACTGTGAGTTGATAAAATCTCAATCCTTTTTAAATTACTCAGTCTCAAGTAGTCCTTTATGGAATTCTGAAAATGAACCAATATAGGAAATTAGAACTGAGATAGTGAGGTAATACTATAAAGATAACCTGAAACTGTGATGTGACTCTAGGTATCAAGCAGAGGTTGGAACAGTATGGAGGACTCAGAAGAAGACAGGAATATGAGGAAAGATTGAAACTTCCTAGAGACCTGTTGAATGGTTTTGACTGAAATGCTGACAGTGGTATGGACAATGAAGTCCAGGCTGAGGTGGCTTCAGATGGAGATGAGGAACTTCTTGGGAACTGGAGTAAAAGTGACCCTTGCTATGCTTTAGCAATGAGGCTGGTGGCATTTTGTCCCTGCTCTAGAGACCTATGGAACTTTGAACTTGAGAGAAATTATTTAGGATATCTGGCAGAAGAAATTTCTAAGTAGCAAAGCATTCAAGATGTTACCTGGCTTTTTACAAAAGTGTATGGCCATATGCATTTATTAAAAGATGGTCTGAAATTGAAACTTATATTGAAAAGGGAAGCTGAGCATAAAACTTTGGCAATTTTGCAGGCTGATCATGTATTAGAGAAGAAAAACTCATTTTCTGGGGAGAAATTCAAGCCAGCTGCATAAGTTATGAGAAGCCAAATGTTAATATCCAAGGCGATAGGGAAAATGTCTCCAGGACATTTCAGAGACCTTCATGGAAGCCCCTTCCATCACAGGCCTGGAGGTCTAGGAGGGAAAAGTGGTTTTGTGGGCCAGGCCCAGGGTCTTACTACTCTTTGCAGCTTCAGGACAGGGCACCCTGCATCTCAGCTGCTCCAGATCCATATGTGGCTTAACGGACCAACAAACAGCTCAGGCCATTGCTTCAGAGGGTGCAAACCCCAAGCCTTGGTGACTTCCATGTGGTATTGGGCCCGCAGGTGTGCAGAAGGCAATTGTTGAGTGTTGGGGGCCTCTGCCTAGATTTCACAGGATGTATAGAAATGCCTGGATGTCCAAGCAGAAGTCTGCAGCAAGGGTGGAGCCCTCATGGACAACTTCTACCAAGGTAATGTAGAGGAGAAATATGAGGCTGGAGCCCTCCCAGAGAGTCCCCACTGGGGCACTGTCTAGTGGAACTATAAGAAGAGAGCCACCATCCTCCAGACCCCAGAATAGTAGATCCATCAACAACTTGTACCATGCACCTGAAAAAGTCACAGACACTCAATGCCAGCTCATGAAAACAGCCACCAGGGATGTACCCTGCAGAGCTACAGGGGTGGAACTGACCAAGGCCTTGGGAGCATACCCCTGGGCTCTTATTAAATCTTATGTATCACTGTGGCCTTGATGTTAGACATGGAGTCAAAATAGATTATTTTAGAGCTTTAAGATTTAATGAGTGCCCTGTCATGTGTTGAGCTTGCATGGGGCCTAAGGCCCCTTTGTTTTGGCCAATTTCTCCTATTTGGGATTAGAACATTTACTTAATGCCAGTATACCCATTGTATTTTGGAAGTAACTAATTTGTTTTTGAATGTACAGGCTGATAAGCAGAAGGGAGTTGCCTTGTCTTAGATGAGATTAATGATTTGGAATTTTGAGTTAATGCAGGCATGAGTTAAGACTTTGGGGGACTGTTGAGAAGGCATGATTGGTTTTGAAATGTGAAAAGGACAAGAGTTTTGAGAGGGACCAGGGGTGGAATTATATAGTTTGGCTCTGTGTCTGTATTAGTTTAGTTTTACACTGCTATAAAGAAATACCCAATACTGGGTAATTTATAAAGAAAATAGGTTTAATTGACTCACATGGCTGGGAAGGCCTCAGGAAATTTACAATCATGGCAGAAGGGGAAGGGGAAGCGAGGCATGTCTTACATGGTGGCAGGAGAGAATGAATTGTGAGAATGAGGAAGTTCCACACTTTAAAACCATCAGCTTTTATGAGAACTCCCTCACTCATCACAAGAACAGCATGAGGAAATGTCCCTATGATCCAATCACTTCCCACCAGGTTCCTCCCTGGACACCTGGAAATTACAATTCAAGAAAAAATTTGGGTGGGGACACAGAGTCAAACCATATTAGTGTTCCCACCCAAATCTTATCTTGAATTGTAATTGCCACATGTCAAAGGAGGGGCCTGGTGGGAGATGATTAGATCATGGTGGGCAGATTTCCCCCTTGCTGTTCTCATGATAGTGAGTTCTCACAAGAGCTGATCATTTTAAAGTTTGATACTTCCTCTCTCTCTCCCTCTCTCTCTCTCTCTCTCTCTCTCTCTCTCTCTCTCTCTCTCTCTCGCTCGCTCTCGCTCTCGCTCTCTCTCGCTCTCTCTCTCCCCGCCCCCCTCTCTCTCTCCCCTGCTGCCATGTAAGGCAATTAAATCTCTTTATAAATTATCCAGTCTCAGGTAATTCTTTCTAGCAGTGTGAAAATGGATTAATACATACAGCTCTAGAGAAAAAGTAAACAGTCAACAGAAAAATATTGAATTTAATCTGCATTATAAACCAAATATAGACCTAAAAGACATTTACAGAACATTTCATCCAAAGGCTGCAGAGTACACATTTTTTTCCTCAGTACATGGCTCATTCTCAAGGACAGACCACATATTAGGTCACAAAAGAAGTCTTAAAACATTCAAAAACATTAAGATAATATAAAGCATATTCTGTGAAAACAACAGAATAAAACTAGAAATCAATAACAAGGAATTTTGGAAACTGTGCAAACACATGGAAATTAAACAATATGCTCCTGAATAACCAGTTGATCAATAAAGAAAGTAAAAAGAAAACTGAAAAAATTCATTGAAAAATCTGATGATGGAAACACAACATACCAAAACCTATGAGAAACAGTAAAAGCAGTGCGAAGAGGGGATTTTATAGCTATAAGTACCTACATCAAAAAAGAAGAAAAACTTCAAATAAGCAGCTTAATGATGCATCTTAACAAACTGAAAAAGCAAGAGCGAACCAAAGCTAAAATTAGTAGAAGAAAAAAAACAATAACAATCAGAACAGAAGTAAATACATTTGAAATGAAAAAAATAATACAAAAGATCAATGAAACAAAAAGTTGGCTTTTAGAAAAGACAAGATTGACACACCTTTATCCAGACTGAGAAAAAAAGAGAGAACCTAAATACATAAAACCAGAGATGAAAAAGGAGACAATACAACTCACACTGCAGAAATTTAAAGGATCATTAGTGGCTACGATAAGCAACTACATGCCAATAAATTGGAAAATCTAGAAGAAACAGATACATCCCTAGGCACATACAACCTATCAAGATTGAACCATGAAGAAATCCAAACCTGAACAGACCAATAACAAATAACAAGGTCAAAGCAGTAATAAAAAAGTCGCCCAGGACCTGATGTCTTCACTGCTGCATTCTACCAAACATTTAAAGAACTAATACCAATCCTACTCAAACAATTCTGAAAAATAGAGGCAGAGGGAATACTCCCAAACTCATACTACCAGGCCAATATGACTTTGATACCAAAACCAAACAAAGACACATCAAAAAAGAAAACTAGAGTACAATATTACTGATGAACATTGATGCAAAAATTCTCAACAAAATATTAGCAAACCAAATTCAACAACACATTAAAAAGATCACTCATCATGACTAAGTGGGATTTATCCCAGAGATGCAAGGACAATTCACATAAGTCCATTAATGTAATATATCCTATCAACAGAATAAAGGACAAAAACCATATGATGATTTCAATTGAAATCTCAGGAGGCTGAGGCAAGAGAGTCGCTTGAAATGGAAAGGCAGAGGTTGCAGTGAGCTCAGATTGCACCACGGCATTCCAGTCTGGGTGACAGAGCAAAACTGTCTCAAAAGAAGAAAAGAAAACAATTTTACTTTAACTATATAATTGAATAACAGTAAAAGGAGATGAGAAAGTTAAAGAATAACAAAAATGCTGAAAAAGCATTTGATAACATTCAACATCCCTCATAATAAGAATCCTAAAGGCCGGGCACGGTGGCTCAAGCCTGTAATCCCAGCACTTTGGGAGGCCGAGGTGGGTGGATCACGAGGTCAAGAGATTGAGACCATCCTGGTCAACATGGTGAAACCCCGTCTCTACTAAAAATATAAAAAATTAGCTGGGCATGGTGGCGCGTGCCTGTAATCCCAGCTACTCAGGAGGCTGAGGCAGGAGAATTGCCTGAACCCAGGAGGCGGAGGTTGCAGTGAGCCGAGATCGCGCCATTGCACTCCAGACTGAGTAATAAGAGCGAAACTCCGTCTCAAAAGATAAAAAAAAAAAATCCTAAAAAAACTGGGTAAAGAAGGAATAGCTACTGTTTCTTCCTTATTAAAAGAAAGAAAAAAAAAACAACAATGAAACAAACCAACATTCTTTTAATCCCAGCTTTCCTTTCCTTCCCAAAATGACATTTACTCATTTGGCATGACAGTTTCAGTTTATGCTTCATTAACTGAACTCATTCTCTCCCATTTCTCACCTTGTTTTCTCTCTTGAGCCCCGCTGCAAATAGGTCTAGCCCCAATACTCCACTGAAACTGCTCTTTTCAAGGTCATCAACCATGTCCACATTGTTAAATCTAATTGTCAATTCTCATTCCTCATCTTTTTGACCTTTGAATATCACTTGACATAAGCAATCATTCCTTCCTTCTTTAAACAACTTATTTGCTTGGTTTTAAAGGCACCACACTCTCCTGATTTTCTTTTTGTCACTCAGGAGAAACCATATATTTGCTCTAGCTGGTAGGAGGAAAGAATAAGTAAAGGTGTGTCCCTCCCTTTAAGGAAACTTACCAGCAGTAGCACGTAACTCTTTTGTTTGTCATATGGTCACCCTTAGCGGCAAGAGTCTTGGAATTGCATTATATATATATATTTTTTAAATATACAAATTATTTATATACACACATATATGTGTGGTATATATATTACATATATGTATATACATAAAACACATATATATTTTGTATGTACACACACACACACACACACACACACACTTTTCCCCAACCAACCAGATAATAATGGGAGATTCTATAATGGAAGAAGGGGAGAAAGAATATTTGAAAACAATAACTATGACTGGGCGCAGTGGCTCACGCCTGTAATCCCAGCACTTTGGGAGGCTGAGGTAGGCGGATCACGAGGTCAGGAGATCAAGACCATCCAGGCCAACATGGTGAAACCCCGTTTCTATTAGAAAAAGAAAAAACAAGATTAAAAAAAAATAGAAAACAATTTTACTGGCTGAGCATGGTGGCTCATGCCTGTCATCCCAGCACTTTGGGATGCTGAGGTAGGCAGATCACCTGACATCAGGAGTTCAAGACCAGCCTGGCTAACATGATGAACCCCCATCTCTACTAAAAATATAAAAATCAGCCAGGCATGGTGGTGCGCTTGGGAGGCTAAGGCAAGAGAATTGCTTGAACTGGGGAGGTGGAGGTGGCAATGAGTTGAGATTGCACCACTGCACTCCAGTCTAGGCCACAGAAAGAAAGAAAACTCCATCTCCAAAAAAAAAAGAAAGAAAGAAAACTATTTTATTTTATAAATATAATTGAATAATTTAATAACAGTAAAAGATGAGAAAGTTAAAAAATAACAAAAATGCTTAAGTCTAAGATTATTATACAGGTATCTCTTAGGCTCTTTTTCTTCAGAAAAAATTTAGAAGTATTAAATGTGTATTAAGTGAAGTGTATTGGGTCATATTTTTAGTAAATGTGATATAGTTAGTAGCTATAGCACTGTAAATATAAAGAGCTTATAAACCAAAAATTATCTGAGACAGGTTCAACCAATTTAGAAGTTTATTTTGCCAAGGTTTAGAACATGTACCCAGGAGACAGATCTGTGTATCTCTCAAAAGATGATTCTGAGGGCTTCAATATTTAAAGGGGAAAAGCAGGTTGGAGTAAAAGGAGGGAGGGTATGGTCACACTACTGAATCCACATATAGCATGAGAAAAGGAGCAGGCAGGGAAATAGTAAATTATGTATGCATCTCAGGCTCAGTAAATTAGCATTTTACATAAGGTAAGGTGAACATAGAGTAGCTACCTGTGGAAATACTTAACTTTTTTATCTGTAGGAACAGAAGAAAAGGCAGCTTCTTGCATAACTCAGTTTTCAGCTTTTTTTTTTCTTTTGGTATAGTGAATTAGGTCCTCAGTTTTTATTTTCCTTTCACAAACTCATACAATTGAGAGGCATCATGCCAAGGTCCCAATACCTAAATTGGCAAAGAGAAAATACAAATAGTACATAAACTATAGCACACTTACCTAAATATAATCTTTATCTTCCCTGGTAATTATGAGAAGTAAATTAAGAGAGCGAGATATAGAGTTATCTATCAATTTTACAAAAAAAATTATTTGTGTGCTTTGCTATTGATGATGATACTCAACACTTGTAAGAGTGATTCGGAGAATATAAACTTTGTCAACCCTTAGAACAGCAATTTTTACCTTAGAAAACTAATGTCCTTGGTATCTACTTTTGGGAATGCAGTTAATCTAGTTTTGGGAATCTATCCTACAAAATTATTCCAACATGTAGACAATCTTTTGGCACAAAGATGTTCATTACAGAGTTATTTCCAATAAAGAAACATTGGGAAAATCCCAAATGATGAATAATAAAGCAACTGATAATAAATGTTGGTATATCTATTCAATGAAATATTATGCCATAATTAAGATTATATTTATAAAGAACTCATAATCACAAGGGGAAATGTTCATGATATATTATTCAGGAGAGAAAGTATTTTATGATTATATAAATATAAATGCCAAGCAATTTATATAATTAGCAAATAAAAGAATGATGAGTAACATTAACCAAAGAAATACTGATAAAATATATTTAAAAGCTATTTTAGAACTAAGTAGACAATCCAAGTAATTGCACTAAAAAACAGCCTGAACCCGAAATAGAACCAAATGTACAAGGAGGTTGTATTGGGCAAAATAACGGTCCCAAAGATGTTTATCTTCCTCCCCAAAACCTGTGAATATTTATTACATGGCAAAAGACTTTGCAGACCCAATTAAGGCTGCAGACTTTATGAGAGGGAGATAATCTTGGATCATCCAAGTAATCCTAAGGGCTAATTACCCAAGGGCTAATTATAGGAGCCCTTAAAAGCAGAGGATATTTTCTAGGTAGCAGCAGAAGAGATGAGACAGAATGGGGAAATCAGAAAATTTTGAAATATGAAAAGGACTTGACTCGCTATTGCTGACTGTGAAAATGGAGGACAGGGATTCAGAGCTAAGGAATGTGGTAACCTCTGGAAGCTGAGAATGACTCCCTCCCAGCTGAGAACCATGGCTGGCAAAGGCATGGAACCTCTGTTCTAAAACTGCAAGAAACTAATCTGGGCCTAAAATCCAAATGAGTTTGGAAGCAGAGCCACCCTAGAGCCTCCAGAAAGGAATGTAGCCTGCTGACACCTGGATTTCAGCCTTGCGTGACTAAGAAGTGGACCCAGCTGGGCCACACAGTACCAGGACCTCCAACGTGAACCGTGAAATAATAGAGTAGTGGTAATTTATTATGGCAGCAATAGAAAACTAATACAGAGAGCTGGGCAAGGTGGCACAGGCTTGTAGTTTCAGCTATACCACCCCAGAGGCTGAGGCAGAAGGAACGATTGGGCCCAGGCATTTGAAGCTGCAGTGAAC